GGTTAGGTTCCGATTGTGGTGATCCGTACGTTATTTATTACTTTTATTGCCGATTATTTCAAAGTTCAGTTTACTAACTATTTTAAAATTTCGGGGGGGAGGGGGATACGGCCAGATACGGCCTTGGGTACATAGAACGTTATGTTAAGCTATAGGACTTAGGTTACCCGGTATTTTTTAATAAGTCAAATTATTAGGAGGTATTTTTATGAAGGTTTTACGATTATTTTACTTTATACATAGGTAGATACAATAGGTACTCAAAAGATTAAAAAACAAAAATTGTACATGTAAAAATATTTCGAATGGTCAAACGGAAAATCATCATAATAAAAAAAAGATGATTATCTACCTATTAAAACACTCATAATTTTGTAATTATTAAATTTAATTTTGTTTATTTATACAAATTGTAAATGGCAATAAATAGTATAATAAGTTATTAATACTATTATAATATAATTATGAAAATATGTTAAATCATATTATTATATTCAATAGATTATTCTTGATTTTTAATTTCTAATTTTCTTTAACTGTTGAATTTAAGACATTTCAAAATACGTTTCTGAAAGACATGGATGCGTATTGCGTACTTTTTAAGAGGCATTTATATAGATCACAATTCACAGGTCGTAATAATAATTTTCCATTTTGGGAACACTGAAGTCTGAAATCACACGTTCATCATTTCGTCATGTATAACTCGGGTGATGATGTCATGGACGGAGAGGACCATCAATAATTTATTATCATTGTTAATGCTATTATACCTAATAAAATAATAATATATAGSGCGATTGTCAAATAGGAGAATTAATGAGAATGCAATTATTGTTATTTACGAATAGGCGTRGTCGCGTTGAATGTAAATCTGGATCGTGAGTAAACGCCGACCGAACCCCAACCGGCACCCAAACAATATTTCTCCCTCCAATACCAGAAAAATGACCTCCAGACGAGATATTTTATATTTTTACTATCAGTGAAGTGGTTTTTTTTTTTACAGATAAGAGGATTACGACTACTAATAAATTCAGACACTCAGCTGCAGTAAACATTGAGTATTAGTCGTGACTTGTAGTCTCTGGAGTCAAAAATCAGAGTACCAGACGTTTCGCATATCGCATTGCTGTTGTGCACACCTGTTTTTAAACGAACTCGGCGGAATTTCGTTTGATAAAATAATCATACTCATTAGGTATCTTTTATAAAATATCGTTATTATWATAATTATACCGGGTGATTCTTTTATCATTGAACACTTATTATTTCAAAAATTACTAACGTTTTTGAAAATATTTTTTTACATAGTTTCAAGTTGTTCAAAAACCAAC